CTCCCGCCTCCCGGTGAGGGGGGGAGACAACCTCCATCCAAATTTTGTTATGCACGTCAACCGGAAAATAGTGTGATTCCCTTCATGATGCGATAATTCATCCTGGAGCCCGGGCTCATCTGCTCCCGCTCAGCAAAAAATTAAAAAAAATACTAGAAAAATTCAAAAAATTCCAAATCTTTTTGTGGTGGTAGATAATTTGACGCGTGAAGTGCATCCCAAAATTCAACTTATTTGGACATCTGAGTAGCTCTCGGCAAAAAAGACAAATCGGGTCAAAATAGTGCGTGAACAGTAAACATTTTTACGGACCCTGATTTTGTCTTTTTTGCTGGGAGCTGCTCAGATGCTCAAATGAGTTGAATTTTGGGACACACCTCACACGTCAAATTATCTACCACCACAAAAAAATTGGAATTTTTTGAATTTTTCTAGTTTTTTTTTATTTTTTTTTCTAAGCGTGGGTGCAGATGAGCCCGGGAGCCAAAACTCCGCGTCCCATCGATTTTGCTATTTCAGGGGCATGCTTTGTTTCCTGTTCAACACCACACTTATAATATTGTTTGTTCTGGTGGAAATTTCATCCTCTGCCTGTGAATATATCTTGCTGCAACTTTGCCCCAATTTCAGTCTCATTTAGACTAGGCCCACGCACCGCCTGAGAAACTAAGTTTTGGTTTGCAGAAGGCAACTCCATAAAACATACATGAATTTTTCTCAACAAAAACCACAGAAAAAGAAAAAAAACATCCAGCTAACGCATCATCGTCGCGGCACAACGTAAAGATAAATCTAGACGCAAGCCGTCACCATTCTAGTATGAAATTTCTAATTATTTTGCAACAGTTGTAGTATGATAGTGGCACACCGGACCATCCAAATACAAGCGTGCTACATGATCAAGTCTAAGGCAAGGCAGATCAACCAGGCTATGAGATGGCCCTGGGCAATGCCAGCATGCACAACAATAATCCTCGGTTATATCCTACAGGACGGACAATTTGGTCCAGATTTATTTCTTATCAAGTATCAGCAACAGCGACCGCCGTTTCACCAATCGATGCACCAGCTGCCTGGCCCGAGGTGGGCAGGCAGATCACTTGGATCTGGCTGGGGCTGGAAGCAACTGCCAAGGAAACAACAGTTAAGATTCTGGAGTTTTGAGGTGGCTTGAACAAATGACAGGGAGGCTGGAGTTGGGATGAGATACCCACCTGGTAACAGGCGATGAGCGAGCTAGCGAACCCAAAGGCCCCTGTGACGCGAGGAGTGACCTTTTTCGGGGCAAGTTGCAGGAGCCCCACCGCAACAACTATGTCGAGGCTCGATTTGATGAGGGCGAGCAGCCTCTCGTTGGACTTCTGCAGCTTCATCCGATACTGCTCGTTCTGGCATCACCCGTACAGTATAATGCGTCAGTGGAAGTAATTACAGGAGATGTGCCATGTCAAGACCCTATGGTCAAACGACTAGTACCTTGTGCAGCTCTTGGTGCTTGAGGTCCTTCTCTAACTTCTTCATCGATTTGGAAAGCCGCTGAAGCTCCGCTAGCTAGAATGAAGCACGGATCAGATGTTAATTTCAGTTAATATACAATGATCTGACACAGAACAGAATCAAATAGTTTCCAGATAGCCATATAGAGAAGCAACAACCTCGATGATGGTAGTACAGGTATTAGATCCGAGAAAGCAATAAAATGCTATCCTGCCAAGGAACTCTGCTCGCTCCTTGTTCTGCAGAAACAGTTAGATTGTTTTACACTTTTACTTGTCACCATGTAGGTAATGAAATTTCTGGCATGAACTTTTGGAGGGAAAATATAAGGTAAAACCATACAAGGAATTAAGCATCTAACATGCTGATGTGAACAACAATTCAAACCTTGTATACTCCTGTTCTCCCAGCCCAAACAATTTGGTCCAGAAAGAGGAAAGTTGACAGCATCGCGTTCTTCGACTGAGGACCATAAAGAAGAATTAGAAAATTAGAAGGCTATCTTCAGCTGACTATGTTCCCACAATGTAACACCAGCAGCAGCATACCTTTCCAAGTAAGATCAGTGGAAGTGGAGTTCCTTTGGCAGGGGGACTAATCAGAGCTTGGAGATCATTAACAAACTGCAAACCATCAATATTTAAATACGATATCTTTTCCTATTCGCAAACTCTACTACACAAAAAAAATTCACACTCTACCTTAAACAGGCGGAAAACTTTCCGAGCTAGACTAGTTGATTTGTCGACATTCTGTGCAGGTCCTGGCTGTCCGTTGCTCAAGAACTTGGATCCATATTGTATAGCCCTACAGATCTTATCTCTTGCCTCAGCCTTGCTTAGGTACAAAACAACCAGGCCAAGATCCCCTCTGACGGTGTCCAGTGAGGCCATTTTTGTATCTTAACTAACTGCAAAAGTGAGCATTGTGTCAAAAACTCAATTAAAACGCACTCCAAGGAAGATCATCATTGCAGTAGCATCAATGCAACTGAAGCACAAAACAACAGCTTAAACCGATTAACATATGTGTTCACCCAATAACAATCTCTACTGCATACTGAATATTGCACGAGGGAGGTTTAACAACGAAAGGGCTCAGAGCCTCTTCAGATACAAGTGGTAATTACTGCATAAGACTGCTCGATTGACCCTGTCTTGGTTCATACTTTTACAATGAATTTCAGGGGTTCCATACGATTTACACAGGCACATGTTTTCGGAGGAATACGAAGGTCAACTCAGTGCCATCCGATTTTGATCTGGCTGCAGCAATTCAGCCAAATTCAGCGCGCTGCACAGTCCACCAGCGGCTATCAGCGAAGAACTAATAAGGGACTGAAGTCGGAACCGCCGACGGTAAAACAGAGCACCTCCGACTCCGAGACGTCGAGAACAGAGTCCAAGAATTACTAGTGGATCGCGACAGGGGCGGATGGTGAGGTCAGTTCGGAACCGAGCCCTCACTGGATGGGCGACTAAAAAGCTGATACATCAAAGAGAAATCTCCATGGCCGCCGATGGGGTGCGGAGGCGGCGGGGGCGCTGTACATGCCGCGACGAGGCCGAACCAGCCGCGGCGACGGCCGGCGAAGCTGCCTATGCCAAGCTACGGCACGGCGGCGGTGGACTAACGGGACAGATCCGGCGTCGCCCGCCGGATCAGGCGAGAAGGACGGAGAGAAGGGGATCCCGGGAGAAAGCGGGCAGGAAGTTAGTTGGCCAGAGGCGCGGGGCCGAGCAGGGGAAGAGCTTGCAAAGAGTAAAAAGAAAATTTTGCCATGGGATTCCGGGTTGTGCTCGTACCTGACTACAGGGGATCGTCTCCGGCGGCGGCGGCGGCGGCGGGGCGGCGGCCTCGGTCGAATCGCCCTTCTGTGTAAGCTGGCTAGCTGGATCACGGCGATTGGGACAGAGGAGTACTAGTACAGGACGCCACGGGCAAGCGTAGCAGGTCTCCGTTATAATGCCAGGCTGGTAATTGCTATACGCACCCCGCACGCGTACCTCCCACTCTGAAGCAAGAGGACATATAAATTTTGTTCAAAGTCAAACAATGCAAAGTTTGAGCAAATTTATAGAAAAAATTTACTCAAAAACCAAGCGGAAAAGGGATATATCATATTTGGAAATTTGGAGAGTACTACTGTCTTTCAATATTATTTCTACAGATTTCAAGATGCAACACTACCGACGTTTTCCTCATACTGGGCCTGGGGACAAGGGATGAACAAGCTCTCAACTACTTGGACTAGAGCTAACTCAAGTTGATCGAACTGGTCCTGAATAATCAGAGAGGGCACAAAATATGTCTCGAAATTAAAGATTCTGGTATCCCATGCTCCAACCGTCAATGATCATCAATGGCAAGGTCACGACATACTCCCTCCGTCCTTCAAAGAGTGTACGTTCAACTTTATTGAAGGGTCAAACTATCTCAAAGTTTGGCCAAGTTTATGCAAAAATATACTCCCTCCGTCCGGAATTACTTGTCTTAAAAATGGATGAAAATAGATGTATCTGAAACTAAAATAGATCTAGATACATCCATTTCAATGACAAGTATTTCCGGACGGAGGGAGTATTATTGTTTGTGAAACCAAATAGGTGCCTGATGAAAATATATTTTATCATGAATCTAATGCTATTAATTTGATGGCATAAATGTTGATGTATTATTGTAAAAATATGGTCAAACATAAATAAAAAATTGACTTTTCAAGAAAGTTGAAAGTACACTCTTTAAAGGACGGAGGGAGTATAACAAAATTATCAAAAATTGAACAAGAAGTAAATTAAGGAAGAAAGCTTCAGGGTCAAGTCGAAGGTGGAGCCCAACTCGACATTGTCTCTTCACCCCCGTTGATAGTTGATCGCTACATGAGACAAAACATGGCAACATAATTGGATGTCGGGTGGAAGGGGGTGGCAGTACATGACAACTGCCAAAATCTCAGCCTAGCGGCAGCATGTTTGATCATCTTCCCACAAGGGCAATGGTCAGGGGTTGAGTCGAGGTAGGAAGAAGAAGAAGAAGAAGAAGAAGAAGAAGAAGAAGAAGAAGAAGAAGACAAGCTGACAAGAAAAGACGTCGAGCTTTCCTCCACCTCCTTTTAGCGGCATTGTCAGTCCTTTGGGTCGTCTAGGAGCGAAGGACCTTGTCCCCGTTGGAGGGAGGTGCCCTACTCTCGTTCTTGTTAGGTTCAATGTCTTTTATTGGAGCTGTGTGATGGCGGTGATGTACCTTGGTAGAAAGAATGTCTCCCACATTCGATCCTTGTCTTGATGTGTGTCTATGTCTGGTCTCATGGGGTTCGGTCAGTGTTGGTCTTTAGTGGATTTGTTTGGATCCGGTCTCTATTCATCTTCGTTTGGGTGTTTACAAGTTTGATTATTCAGATATATGACTCTATTTCATTAGCGATGGTTGCTGCTATGGTGTGATTATTCTGTGGGGTCTTAGCACGATCTCTTCCCAACGGTCTACTCTAACAAGGTTTTGCCCGGCTCCGGCGAGGAAGGGGTGATGACGGCGGGGGGCGCCTTCTACTTGCTTTAGTGCTTGTAGTCGTCACTATGTGGTCCACATGTCTGGTTTAAATTTTTGTTATCTCTTGTGTTCTCTGTACTGCCATGATTGATATGAATAGATCAGAAATTCCTAAAAAAAATAAGAAGAAAAGGTGAGGATGGCGGGTTGAGAAGAAGATTGGATACTTATAATTGTTTGTACATTAGAAAGGATTATAAATATTCTACTATGATAGCACGTTATTTACCTGCCCATATTAATACAACTGTGTAAATAAATATTTACCAAATCTTGTCCATGATTTACGTACCTAAATAAAGGTCCCTTATATTTTTATCAACAAAAACATAATTTTATTTGGTAACCAATAAAAAATGGGACAATTAAGATGGTTTTCAAGGAAACCGGTAAAAAAAAGATAGGAGGAGAAAACGAAATGAAGAGATAGAGGGGGGAGGTAACATGACGTTGGTTATCATGCACGATCTATCCCTCTCGCCGTCGCCAAGCTTTAGCCACTAGGTAAACCCCGCGCGACGCCGACATTAGCAAGGAGGTTGCTGCTCTTTGGTAGTTCGGTATGTACGAGTCGGTGGCCTGCTACGGGAAGGCGACGGTGATGCATGATCGGGGTGCGGCTGTTGACAGGTGATGCTCGTCAATGGCGTTGGTGATTTCTTCAGAGTTTTTATAGGCATGTATCGGTGTTTTCTTCCGTGGGGCAGCGATTTGCTTTGCGGATGCGACTGCCGACGTCTCCTGGTCTGCATCGATGACTTTCTACTTCTACAAGCTCATGAGTTTAACAAAGTTTACTCCGTCGAGGCAGAGAGCCAGAGACAGCATCGAGCTATGCTCACGACGCGCCGACGATGAATGCAGGAGAAACAACACTTCAACACCCGAAAGATTTGAATCCAATTTTATATTTCTACAAAGATGTGTCTAACCATTGACCCTTTCGAAAAAAAAGGGAACGCTATTTTTTAAAGTACTCGTAGTTGAGAAAGCGGACAGAAGTTGAAAAACTAAATGCCTAGGCGAGGCGTCGGGTATGTGTTGTGATTTCTAGGTGAGCTGACGGCGTGGCCGTAGCTAGGCTAAAACCCAGGAAAAGCTAGGATTTTATTTTATTTTATTATTTTCGGGGGATAGGATTTGGTGGTGACACAAACCCGCAAGAAAGTGCTTCGTGGGGCCCAGCTGACATGAAACGTAGCTCCAAGGCTGGCTGTAACGGGAACGGCGTCGCGTAGGATTGCACCTTTCCCCTTTTTTTTCAGCGAAAATTGGAGCTTCAGTTTGTTTACTGAGCAATATTGAAGCTTCAGCTCTTTTTTTTAGTAACTTTTCTTTAGGTGTAGTCCCCTGGTAACATTAGATAACAAGAGTTCTAGGGATACATAAGCCATCAGACGGGTCTAAGAGCCAAATATATCGACCAATATTACCACGAAGAGATGATCGAGGTAGCCCGTGGGCTTCAACCACTAGTAGAAAATAGGGCATTTGTCCCGGTTCGTAAGGGCCTTTAGTCCCGGTTCATGAACCGGGACTTATGGGTCGTTACTAATACCTCCTCCCTTTAGTCCCGGTTCTTACACGAACCGGGACAGATGGGCATCCACGTGGCCGCTGCGGGCAGCCCAGGCAGGGGGGCCTTTGGTCCCGGTTGGTGACATAAACCGAGACCAAAAGGCTTCCACGCGTCAGCAGCTGGCTGGAGCTGAGGTTTTTCTTTTTTCTTTAAAAAAAGTGGCTGGTTTAGGGGTTTTGGGGGTTATTTTTAGGTTGTTATTAGCTAGCTAATAGAGAGAAGTGTTCTCTCTTATATCTTCGTCCTTGGTTTACCAAAGCTACTGCTATGTTCATTTCACCCGCAGATATAATAACTCATGCATGCTCGCATCATACATCATCATATATAATAACAAGTCCTAATAATCATGCATCATCATACAACTTCTACTCGTTATTAATAATAAGTCATACGGTCATCATCCTCATAGTCATCGAACCCAATCCTACATAATTGTTCTTAGCACATGATCATCAGTATCAGGTAGGACCTAAACACCTTAAAGTAAAATAGCATAAAACAATATAGACCCTGACTCTCCATTATGAAGAACGGAGATCATCCTGTCTCCAATTCTTGCGCTTCGCTTCCTTTTGCTTCCAAGAAGCTCCTTACGACTGTCCTTTCATTTTTTTCCATTCTTTGATTGTCATGTCTCCACTTTTTTTAGAAATCTGGTATGGACAGTTGAGATTCGTAGGACGACCTGGTTGTATGTTCAAAACATGAAGGCTACCGTGCGTATACATCAGATGAGGCACACAATCATTCGGGATTATCTGT